TTATGAGTCTTTACCGGCATTTTCCATGACGAAAATCATAATTTTCATCGCTCGCTTTCGCTTTGGTTTTGACATTTTGTTTCCTTTGCGGCTGGCTCCTTGTGGCAACATTTCCATCTAATATATTTCTCAAGTACGTGACATACATTAACCTTACATACAGATTAAGCAGAAGATTAGATGGCTCATTTAGCGAGGAATTACTGTAACATTTCCACACTTAAATGTGGCAGCAAAAGTTCAACTTTTCTTCAAATAAACTATGGGGAAAACTTTTACAACTTTTACAGCATTCATTCTACTTCTTTATTCAGTCCTACTACTCATTCATGCGTGCCTTAGAAAAATACTAAAAGAAAAATCAAGAAAAAATTAACCAAAAAAGTAAAAAATCGAGAAAAGAAAAATCAACTACATACCGCAAAAAGTTTAATTGATATTTCAATTGACTTTCGGCACAAGTTTGCCCAGTAAATTCATTTCCCTGTTCAACCAGAAATCCCCATTTGGATCCCATTTATGCTCTTGTCTACTGAATTATTCAGTTGCTGAAGAAGTTGTAGCCCCATAAAGATGTTTTTCCTGTCTTTGAACGTCACTTGCGCCCCATGACCCCTGAACCCCAAAGCCAAAGTGAACGCCACCGAGAAGCTGACAATTTAGCTTAAGAAAAAAAAAATCCATTAATTTCTCGAAGCCAAAAGCCGAAAGTTGTGATCAAAATCGAAAACATTTTCCCAAAAATAAATAAGAGCAAGAATTTAGTGAAAAACGAGGAAAAAAAGAAGAAGAAATAAAAGAAAATGCAGGGACAAGAGTATAAATAGAGAACAGCGGGAAAAGGAGCGAAATAAGTGAAAGCTTAAGCAAAAGCAAAGGATGAAGACAAAAACAGGCTCCATTCATGACTTAAAAAAAATTGAATTCCGGCGAACAAATAGCTTCAAATTCAATAGACATCAACATTTCAGGAGTTCGAAATTTCTCGATGCATTAAAAGGATACAAAATTTACGGCCAAATGACAAAAATGATGGCAACAAAAAATTTTAAGGATGAAAATCTACGTGTTGTAAAACTGTGTCACCTGTAAAACTCGCCCAAAACTCTGCAAAAAAAAACAACATGAAAAAAAGTGAAGACATAAAAAAAAGTAGAGCAAAGTGCGACTCTGCAATTTATTAAATCGATAAAAATCCGTAAAGAAAAATAAATTGAAGGAGAAGACAGAAGGAAAAAGCAGAAGCAGAGAATATATGTATGTTAGACAAACACTTTAAATTGTGTGAAAAAAAACCTGCGCCAGAAGACAGGTAAAAATAGACAGTGGAGACTATTTAAAAGAGAAAGAATTGAAAAGAAAAGAAAAAGCTGAAAAAAGAAAGAAGAAAATGTTAAAGAATAATGTAAGAGATCCTTTACTGCTAAGACACACTGGGAGAGAGACCAGGAGGGAGAGCGTAATGTGCAGCTGCTAATTGCTTTCTTGGTCAGCATATCCTTCTCAAATTGTATTCAGATTTAAAGACTACAATATATATACACATTCCTTTATAATTCAAATTTCGAAGAGATTTATGAATTCATATTTACACAAATTCCATGAATTTTCTACCTTTAAGGCTAACCCTTGATCGAACCTTCACTGTACTTGTGAGCATCTACAACAATATCTCGACTGTAACAAAAGGCGACACTAAACTTGAAGCTCAAACGAAATGAAATTTTCTCGCAACTACCATAAAACGAAATGAACTACATTTTTCTCTGTGTTGAGAGTGTGGCAAGGTGCAAGGTGGCAGTGGGGCAGAGACGTCTTCCAGCATCGAACACAAGTAGCAATTGTTTGGTGGCAGCAGCACAGGAAATCAAAAGGGGTTTTGAAGAGGAGGAGAAGGCCACAGGAAAATGAGTTGGAGGATATTGATTTCGCCTAGTTTTTTTTTCGGATTGCCTCAAGGCCTCAACATAGTTTTTCCCTTTAGTTTTTCTTTCTATTTCTGTTAGCTTTTCCTCGGTTCTGTTTTTGTTAGTTTTTCTTTCCATTTGTAGGGGTAGCTGAGATCTAGTTTATGTTTTCGAGTGTGGGGCTGTGGCAGAGCTCACAAAACAACCAATAGAATACTTGAAAATGAATTTCAATAGCAGCAAATTTTATTATCAAACAAATTGCGAGAACAACGAAAGAAAAGCCAAGAAAATGCATGTGTGTGTGTATGTGTGGTCAGGAAATTGTGAAAACAAATAATACATTTTTGTAAATAAGAAAAAAGTATAAAAAAATCTATTTTGTGATGTCCATTCCCAAAAATACTTTTCTTATGTTTTTCCTATAAAAAAAACTTAAAGGCATTTTTTTAAAAATGTGAATCTCCTTTCGGAACCTCCGAAAATTCATTGAAAAGTTTTCCATAATTTAAGTAATTTTCCGCTTGAAGAAGAAGCAAAATCTGATGCGTAATCATTTCAGCAATGTTCAAAAAACTTTCTTGTCGATACTCACTCTCTCTGGAAATTCCATTTCCTTCTTCACACCTCTATCTCTTACATTCTCCCTTTCGTTGACACCTTCTAGTTTTGCACGGGTGGAGGGTGTTGCTCCTGTCTATCACATTAGTTCCATTTAGTCACTCCCAGTGCCTCCCAAAAATTGTGTACGCATCCCTACCGAAAATATGATTAAATTTATGCCAGTCAAAATACAACATAAAACTGTCGACACACAGCCCCTCCACCGACCAAAATGACACAAAACTTTCCACTGCCTTCCACGCAGTGTGGCATGGCTAATGGCATTCCTTGCCACCACCAATGATGGGGCCTAAGGCTTAGGGATCCCCCAAAGACGCGCAGTGGATCCATGTAAATTAAAACATGTTTCAACTTATTAACAAGATATCCCCGCCCCCGTACAGTGCGCCCCAAAAGTCATCGCTCTTCCACGACTTGTCATATGTACAAAATATTTACATTTCCCTCTAGCAAAATTATGCCAGAGGAAACTTTCTTTCCGGGGGAAAAACTAGCGACATTTGTTCGGGGGGGAAGGTTTTGAACAACTGTCTGTGTCTGGTACACCCCCCACTCACCCTCTCTCTCTGGTTTGACTTTGTTCTGCTACTCCTTCTGCCCCTTTCTTAGGGGGCAGTCATAAAAGTTTAATTCCTCCCTCCTTGGGGGCACATGCAACATGCAGACATACAGAAATGTCGCCCATTTTGTGCTGAAATGACAACAAAACTTTTTACTTGCAGAAAAGTTTTTTAGAGAGCGACACAAGTTTTAAATGCTGTTTGCATGTTGCGTGGAAACATGCCTCCTCCTCTACCCCTTCCACCACCCTTGCCCCTTTTTTTGCGGCAACCTTTTTTGTTGGCCAATTTTTGTGGCAAACCAAATTCATTTATAGGCTGCAGTTAGTAAAGTTTTCAGCCACTCCCACCCCACCACCACCCAAGAATTAATATAGAAATTGGCCCAAAATTGTTGGCCATTTTGTGGTCTGGTAATTTGTTAAAATACTTGGCCAAGTTCTTGCGCTACAAAAATATTTTCTAGCTTCCCCTTTATTTCCATGGAATATTTTCCCACTTTATAGCCAGAGATGCTATCCATTGAATTAGCGCCTGCAAAGTGTGAAGATTTTTATATAGATATTGACATTGATTCCCATACTCTCAACCTCCTATTTGGTTTAGGTTTTTATGGGCAAGTCCTTTGGTATCATCCTGCTCCCTTCTTCCTTCATTGTGTCTGCCACACGAGTCTCTCTCGCTCTCTTTGTTCGCGCTATTTATAAAAGTCAGTGACACAGTAACTTGGTTTCCTGGTGGCTCGTTTGGTGGCACTTCTTCAGCCACATCCTAATCCTCCCTCCCTCCGCCCAATTCTCCGGCTCACCCTGCCAACTCTTTTTCCGCTTTGATAAGCAAGTTCTTTTGTTCCAGAACAGAAGAGAGAGTAGAGAACTTTCCATGCGCTTGCTTTTGTTATACTTCTAGCGTAGCATAGAAGGGAGGGTGGGGCTGGAGGAACGACTGATGTCAGATACAAGCCATGCACTCTCGCTCAGATACATGACGATATGTACATATCTCTAACAAAGATGCAGCCACCCTGCTTGGCCCTGTTGCAATCCCTGCACTCCCTGCTCCTTCTTGGTTGGATAGATTTCTGTTTGCAGCTTTTGTGTATTCTTTTTGGGAATTTAGTTTATAGTTTTTGCTTTAAATTGTGGTTTAAATATATAACGAAATATTATAGATATCATTTCTCTGGTATTTTACTTGAAACCCCATTAAAATTCTACCTGTTCCCCGTATATAGAGGGTACTATTCTCGGGTCCATCTTTATACCGTATATAGCCCATGCATCAATCTTCCGTTACCTTTAATCTCCCGCACACACACACACACTCGAGTCCCACGACAACTTCTCCACACACACTTCACACGTCAGCAGGAAAAGAGGCAAATCCAATCCAATGATTGTTTTCTTTCTCTCTCTCTCGAAAGAAAAGCCTTTTCCCTAAGCCTGAAAACGTGTCCACTCAGATTAGGAAAGAAACAATCGACCTGAAGGGGCAGCAGCTGATGCTGCTGCTCCATCGATGACTTTGGCTTTTCGTCACAAGACGAGAAGAAGCAAAAAAAAAAGAGTTGTTTACGGATATAATTTGCCTATTTTCAGAGGCTTAGACGCTCATTTGTCTTACGGTTTTTGCCGGCCTCCGCCTGGTTGATGGCTGATTTAAGGCCTTGTTTACATGAGAAAGTCTTTTCCTTTTCCTTGCAAAATATAGAAACAAGCGATCCAGTTGATTAATGGAGGCGGCTTAAGGGCTGGCTTTGTGGGTTTTGTCGTTCGTGTAAATCTTTTCATGCAATTATTTACGTCTTGAAATATTACTCGGGAATTCCATCTACCGAAGGAGAATCAATTTTTTTCCCTTGATCGGTCAATTAACATATTTTTCCTCTTTTTGATTTTCCTCTTTGCAGTTGGTTCACGTGATTCCACGGGCAGTGGCTCCTCCTCTGGTGGCAGTTCCAGCTCCTCCTCCTCATCATCATCATCATCGTCTTCGGGCAGTGGAAATCCTACAAAATATCCTGTGCTGGTGTTTGTGCATGGCGAATCATATGAATGGAACAGCGGCAATCCGTACGACGGTTCCGTTCTGGCAAGCTATGGACAAATATTGGTGGTAACCATAAATTATCGCCTCGGAGTGCTGGGTAAGTGCTCTGCACACTCAAATCCTAATGCTAATTGATATGCTGAGTGCATGACCAGAGAACGACAGTCGACGACAACGAACGACGAACGACAGGCGGCGCCTCCTCCTCCTCTGAGAGTGAAGAGTGAAAAGTGGTGTGGAGTGGAGGACGTCGGTGCAATGAGGCAAACGTGCCGCCAACCAATCGACTGTGCAGAGCAACGGCTTTTAAGCCAGTGCCAGTGCCAGTGACTGGATGCCAGCAGCAGCACTCTTGCAACATCAACTGCACTTCCGTTGAACAACAGCAGCAGAAGCAGCAGCAGCCAACGACTGGAGCAGCAGCAGCAACAATGGCAGCAGCAATGAGGCGTACATTTATTCCATAATCTAACTAATTTAGTTACAGTCAGGCACACAAAAATTCACACAGGATACTGTGGTATAAAGTTGCGCCAAAAAGGGATTGAATGAGCATTCCAAAATCTTTATGATTAAGTTAATAAAGAAATTAAAGTTTGAATATTAGAAAGAATAGCAAAAAAAAAAATAATAGTTAAATGCATATTAGTTCATCTACCAGAAAATATCAGATTATACTAGAACAATAACAGTTATTATAGAAAACAGCGAGAAAATACTAGCAAATATTATAAAATACGAGAATTATATTACAAAATATTTGAAAAATATTGAAAAAATATTAGAAATACCTTGAAAAAATGTTAGAAAATTATTGTATATTTCCCCCGAGAAATCCCAAAAATATCTTTAAAATTTCCACCTCAAGAAATCACTTTGAAGCCACTGTGTGCCCCCGAAACACTGTGCAAATTCAAATGCACTGGTGAAATTAGTGGCGACCTCATTTGAGCGCTCCATCCACTCGTTTGCTGCTGCCGCTTTTGCCTCTACTGCTGCTGCTGTTGCTGTTCCAGAGGAAACGGAAGTGCTGACATCATGATTTGCACGCGTGACTTTGCAGTGAAAAAGTGTCGCCTGTCGCCTGTCCGATGCCATTGCGTTTGGACATTTTAAATAGGCAACGAACGACACAACCGACTGACTGCACGACTACTCAAAATCGATTAAATGTTCATTACGGGCGGCAAACGAATCATCAATTATGTGAGGAATAAACTCTATATTTTTTTGCAGGATTTCTGAATGCGAACACGGACCGATACTCGAAGCTGCCGGCCAATTATGGCCTGATGGACATCATTGCCGCATTGCATTGGCTCAAGGAGAATATTGCTGCCTTTGGCGGTGATCCCAATAGCATAACCCTCGCCGGACATGGCACTGGAGCGGCATGTGTCCACTTTCTCATTTCATCAATGGCCGTGCCAGAGGGTAAGCAGTGTTTGCACCTCTTGCACAAGACATTTCGCTTGAAATCCCTGCTCCATTTTCGTGTCTCCTGACAGGCCTGCTCTTCAATCGCGCCATCCTCATGTCCGGTTCGGGTCTGGCCCCCTGGTCGCTGGTCAGCAATCCGGCAAAATATGCCGCCATTGTGGCCCACCATGTGAACTGTGCCTCCGACCTGCCGCACGCCCATCTGATGAAGTGTCTGCGCGAGAAGACGCTCGAACAACTGCTGAGCGTTCCCATCCGTCCGCCCGAATTCGGTTTCGCCTTTGGGCCGAGCATCGATGGTGTGGTCATCGATGGCGGAGATTATGTACCCCCAGCGCCAGGTTCAGCGGCAGCTCAGGCTCAGGCGCATGCATCCACAGCCGCTGGGAATGGCCTCGGCGGAGAGGCAGGCATTGCCGCTGCAGGAGGCTGGGGCACGCCCGGACAACTGGAGAATATCGGTGAGATATTAATATCTGAGATTTCCTTATTTTTTTACGTATTTTTAACGTTTATTTCCTTTGCATAATTAAAATAAATTAAACTTATGTATTTTTCCCATCTTTTAATGCTGTTTCTTCTCCTCATTCTGCTGCCACTTCAAACACACACACACACACACACACATATATGTGCCCTTTCACACATGGCACGGACTGTTTTTAATGAATACAGTATTAATGAGAAAAACTGCCATTAACAAGTTGTCAAGGTAAGTTGTGGGGCCAAAGCCAAGCCACGGCATCGGCACAGGCCCAGGCGTATACTTAATTATTTTCACCTCAACACTTGCACACACTTACACACACACCCATCATATACATCACATGCTATGTACAGTTGACACTCGAAGGAGTGAACAATCGAGAGAGCGAAACATTCTAAAGAGGAAAACTCTCGAAAGTGGAAACATATGGAAAAGGCAACACTCGTGGGAGAGCATTAAAAATATTAATTATTCAGAAATCAGTCAATTAATTTGTATCCAGAGTAGGGCTTTCCCTAGAATTTCAAATATAATACTGAAAGAAGGGTCCTCTCTTAAATTTAGGTGATTTACCTTTTACCAATGGGCATACCACAGTCCTAACAGTCGGCTTATAGCATTATTCTTCGCTTAAAAATATATCCCCATCAAAAATTACTCATTAAATAATGAAGATAATAAATCACATACCTTGTACTAGTCCCCCTTCTTCTTGTTTTAGCTCAAGCCTGTACCCACTGTACCAGTGCTCTCTCTCACTCTCTCTTTTTTTTTGAAAAAACACTGCAACATAATTAATTTAAAGTTTCGTTTCTACTTTCGTTCTTTTCGGCAAAGTTGTTGCGTTGTTTTCCTGTCAAAAGGCTGCCCTTTATCTGGCGTTCAAAAGTGTCGTTAGTTAAGCCACCGATAAGATTTAACTATACAAAAAATACATACACTCTACTACTCAAACACACACACTAGCTCATGAAACACACACCTGCATCCCGGGCTGCAAGTGTAATTAATTTATTCACATTAGGCACGCAAATGTTGGGGCTCAGAGCGAGACCTCGCCTCTGGCGATTGTGGTGCCGCCACTTGATTTATGCACTTTGTGTGTGTGTTTGTTGCAGCAGCTCATTTTACAAAATGTTAATATATATATTATTAACAGCTAATTAGAGCTGCGATTCACATAATTGATGTGCGGTACGCTTTGATGTTAGAAACCTAAAACTGGGTTACGGACTGCAAGGGAGAAATGCAATTGAATTGGGTTTTATAATTAACAGAAAACTCAATCCAATTAATAGTTTATCATGGAACTACGAGCTCAACCTTTGAGCTAGAAATCCCATAGATATTCCACCACTTAAGTGCGATGAAACTAGGAATTTATCTGTACAAATCGGCATGCAGGATTCGGGTTTCTACTTCTCTGTGTGTTCTATCAATGCCCAAGAGGCTATTAGTCAGTGCATAAAAGGGGTATAAATATTTCGTTTGTGTGCAGTTTAAAGCATTTCCCACTCACACATTCATGCACACAGAAGAGCACTAGAGAGAGAGAAAGATCCCTACCTCTAAAGGAAAACCATTAAACACATGGCACACAAAGAACAAATACAAAATCCACAAAATATCCTTTGGATATCCTGCTGCTGCATCGCCCAAGCAAATAAGCCACGAAAATGTAGAAGAAAAATATACATTTAAAACAAACAGGGAAAATGCATGCGACTGACCACAGAAAATACAGCTCAGAGAGAGAGAGTGAGAGAAAGAGACAGTGTGAGGCAGCTACAGCAGTTTAACGAATCAATGGGAATTGGGAGCCAGAGCCAAAGTTATTATGGCTGCAGCGATGATGAGAGAAAGTTTAAATATAAAATAAAATTATTACCTATTTTGGGCTATTATTTATCACTTATTTATTTATTAATAATTATTTTTATGTTGTTCGCCTTTTTTATTATTAAAACCAAATCAAATTAGAAACAAATATAATTATTTCGAAAAAAAAAAATATTAACACAAATTTTAAATTAAATTATTTTAAATTAATGTCTTAAGTTCTAGGACCTTCTTTTGAGCATGCAAATCAGATTTTACTATTAATTTCTTCTCTCTTAGCAACCAATCGGAAGGTTTTTCTGCATCGACTCGGAAATTGATTCAGATCAAGAATTTATATAGTTAAGGGTGGGGCACACTCTTTATCATACAGTACACACCCCTTATCCAGTTGCAGTAATTCCGTCGAGTACCGCGTACCCAAAAATAGGGTTTGCAGGACACGGACAACCCTTTGCCCTCACACGCACATTTACTTCCATACTTATCCTTCTTGCTGCTGAATATTCTTCATCCTTATTCACACTTTACTCATTTTCCCCCTCTGAACATGCAGATACGACCTGATGGCCGGTGTGACACGTGCCGAGGCCTTTTTCAGCTTCAATTCGGGTGATGTGCAATATGGCATCGAGGCAGATCGAAGGTCGAGAATTTTAAAGGCCTACGTGAGGAACACGTACACATTTCATTTGAACGAGATATTCGCAACGATTGTCAACGAGTATACGGATTGGGAGAGACCCGTCCAGCATCCAATTAATATCCGGTGAGTAATTGCGTTTGTATGTGCCCCCATGCCAACATGCCCCCGCAGCAACATCAGGCAGAGATTCTCTACCAAAAAGAGGTAGAGTGGAGTGGAGAGTGGATGCCAAATAAATATTTCCTTCTTAATTAAATGCGCAATGGCATGTCCTGGAGATCTCTTACTCCCACACACACACACACAGCGAACGATGGAGCGACGGAGCGCGTGAGGTTTTCAATTAAAGCGGCTTTTGTATAAATCTTGATTTCAATCTTATGGCAAATGAAATGCAAATCGGTCGGGGCACCTCACCCTCCTTGACCACCTGCCAGTCTTCATAAATAATGCTGCTACAGTTTGCCTGCATTCTGTTTCATATGGTGCATAAAAGTGTTATGGAAATGGTTTTTCCTTTGCCTTTTTCCTACAATTTCCAATCGATATTTATGTTTTGCGACTTTCAACCATTTGATTCGATTCGATTTACAATTTATTTGTGTGTTTGCATAATTTATGCGGAATTACATTTCCATATTTTTCGGGCAAACAAATCAATTGATTTTGCTTAAATATTTCTTTGGTTTGGTCTGCTACGGAAATGTGTGCAGACGTGCATGAAGTTGCAACGTTTCATGCTTCATCTGTGGAACATGGCCGGAGAGTGCCGTGTGCTCCTTTTGAGTATTGACTACAGGTGCACGCGGAGAAGCGGTATTCAAAGTAAAAGAGTCGTGAGAGTACATTTAAATTGAAAATTTCCACCATAATTGTAGCAACATTGAGTACACATTTTTTCTGGGGAAAATTAAAACCCTGTCACAGCCAGGAAATTGTATTTATTTGTATGTTTGTATGTCTAAAATGTGCAGCAGACATAAAGCCGAGTCTTGTACAGTATTTTCAGTCTGATGGAGATATCCATGCAAATGGTTTTTATTCAAATTTTTGCGCTTTTCGCATTTGAAATTCTGTGAAAAAAAATATACACAACGATTCGCCCAGACAGGCTCCCCACAACAAAAAAAAAAAACAAGAAGAAGAGAAATGCAGCATCAAATCAGTCCCGAAAATAGGCTTAGTCCTCCCCTCTTTTGGAGGTAAACTGGTAACCAAAGTGGCTGCCCTTAAAAGTGGCTTGTTAGATGCACACTTGAGCATAAAACTCTCGATGGCAGCGAAGCAAAGAAGCCATTGCAGTAGGTAATGGAGGAAAATAGCCGGAAAATTGCATCGGTCTGAGGGTTGGGTAAATTGTTATTTGATTTTAATGCCTGCATTTTTTTTCTCCCCTCTCTTTTATAGCGATGAAACACTGGAGGCATTAAGCGATGCTCAGGTTGTGGCACCGGCAGCACAAACTGTTGATTTGCATTCGGCAGATCATCGAAATTCGTATCTATATGTTTTCGACTATCAGACGCGCTTTGGGGACTATCCGCAGGTGAGTCGAAGAGGCATTACTTCTAATTCTATTGTCCTCTTGGGATTTCACTTGATTTAATCTGATAGAAGGTGTACCATTAATTAATTGCGAGTAACATTAAGCGAACAGCTTTCCAATTGATTAACTCAAGTCATTAAGCTCCAATGAGAGATGTTACATGCATCAGGGTCAAGTGGCTACTAAATTTACTCTTCTCCCCTCTTTGTACATTTTGCAGCGTCAGGGTTGTATCCATGGCGAGGACCTGCCATATATCTTTGGTGCACCGCTCGTTGGTGGTTTCAATCATTTCACGCGCAACTATACGAAAACCGAAATCAGTCTATCGGAGGTGGTCATGTATTACTGGGCCAACTTTGTGCGCACTGGGTAAGTACTACTCGTAGTAAATGGCCAGGGAATGGTAAATGGCCCAGGACCACGCCATTGGCAGTGGCAGTGGCAGTGGCAGTGCACTGCTGTGGTCATCTAACCTGGCAACCTGGCGATGGTGCTGCCTCATATGCAACTGAATTCACATTTAATCATCCAAACGCACTCACCCTTTACCACTCTCTCTCACCATGCAGCAATCCAAATGAACAAATGGAAACGGAGCACAGCAGTCGACAGGAGAGGAGTCGCTACAAAACCATCGAGTGGACGGCATATGAGAGTGTGCACAAGAAGTACTTGAATTTTGGTTAGTATTGAATTCATATTGGAATTTCGATAAATGTATCGATAAATTAATCGATACAAATTAAGATAACAACTATGGAAATATTTTCATCAACTACATATATTCATATTTAGATAAATATATTAATAATATATTTTAATAACTTTTTCGATAAATACTTCGATAGTAATTTTCATAATTATTTCGATATATTTCGATAACATCCTCGTTAACTATTTCAATAAAATTTTGAAGATAACATCTATAAATATATCGATAAAAATATGGATAAATATTTCAATAACTAAAATTTCGATTAATCCAAAAATATATCCCCTATTCTCTCCCTTCCAGACACCAAACCAAAGCTAAAGAATCATTATCGGGCACATCGTCTATCGTTTTGGTTGAATCTCATACCGGATCTACACAAGCCAGGGGGCGATAATGTCCCCGCCGCCCATCATCAGCTGAACGACGACGACGAGGAGGATAACAATATACCGAATGATGCCTCTGTAAAGCCCCTGAATCCCCCCTACACCTCGAGGGCTGCCAATGCAGCGGCAATGGGAAACTTTACGATTTTCACAAATCAAGTGTTTTCCCTGCTGAATCTCAGCTCGCCGTCGTCCTCGCTGCAGCGGAATGGCACTCGCTATGGCGGAAATAAGGTCTATCCCGATGACATGATGGATCCGGATCATGCGGCCGGGGGAGCGGCCAGTGCCTCGCAGGATAACGATGGCTTTGCGGCATATTCCACGGCCCTGAGTGTCACCATTGCCATCGGCTGTTCCCTGCTGATCCTCAATGTCCTGATCTTTGCGGGTGTCTACTATCAGAGGGACAAGACGCGTCTGAGTGAGCCCCGACCGCAGACAAAGTTGAAGCGGCAGGAGAATGGCCAAATTCCAAACAGCATCTGTGGGGATCTGGAGACGCTGACAATCCATGCAAAGAGTGACCCTGGGACGATCCTATCCCATCATCATGCCATGCAGCATCATCAGCTTCCACCTCCGGAATTTGCGGACATTCCACATCGTGCCCCGCCGCCTCCGAAGCACATGAAAACGATGCAGGATCCAGGGGGTGGCGGTGTGGGTGGTGTCGCCCCAACGCATGCCCTGCAAGTGCTTGGCAATCAGTGCGGGACTCTGACCAAAAAGAGTTGCATGAAGCAGACACAGGCGCAGGCACAACAGCACTCTCCCTCGCAGCAGCAGCAGCATCAGTCACATCAGCAGCAGCAGCAGCCGCATCAGCAGCAACAGCACGTGGTAACACATCAGCAACATTTGCAGAATCATCATAATCAAAGCATGACCACCGTTCTCACCACAGCCGGTGGATTGGTGGTGCCCACCCCGCCCACAGTGCCAGTGATTGTGGCAGCCCCCACACAACAGCAGCAGCAACAGCAACAGCAGCAGCACCACCAACAGCAACAGCAGCAGCAACATCCACTGATGGATGAGCTCCGTGTGTGACATTAATTGACCGTGCGTTTTAAATGTGATCTCTAAGCGCACAGTCCATTCTATAACCTATAGCCTATATATAACCCTTGCCCAATCTCCTTCCTTCCTTCCCATTTTCCCTACATGTTTCAGCTGTCGGTGAGTGTCTGTGTCAATATCCCCTGGATGAATGGTTAAATCTCTCTCTCTATATAGCGCCTAAGTGTACGTATGAATGCTCTATCCTGATGTAACAGGATTTAAAATCAAATGTAAATCCTCGCTGACCAAGCTATTACTTTGTTGCTAGTTGATTTTACATATATATAAATATATATATAGATCGTATATATATTGTATATAGTTATAACTAAAGAGTAGAGATTGTTGTTAGGATTCATTATCAAACAAAGAAACACTCACCAACTTGGTAGAACATTTTTTTTTTGTCAATAAATCAAAGAGAATTATGTTTTCAGCTAAGATTTATATTTTCTAATGTTTTCTTTGACATTTTTTCGCAGAGGTGCAGGGCTCTACAGAACTATAACTATCTATTATTTTTTGATTACAGACTTTTACAAGTCTTTAGCATAGAAAAAAAACAGATTCTGTAAGGAATTTGATGCGCCCGGCATAACTTTCAACTAATTTTTCGACCATTCACGAAAATTAATTTGACTAATATATTAACTACTAGTCGACTAATATTTCGACTACTTTGAACTGAAAAATGTTATATTTCGATAATTGGCTTAAAATTTCTACCTATTATTATTATTTCTACAACAATTTCAATCAATATTTCGAATACTATTTTAACCATAATTTCTACCACTTTTTCAACCAAGATATAGAACTATTTCTAATACTATTTCGACGACTATTTCGATAACTATTTTATAGTTTCTTTCAATGGTTAGCCCTGACACCTACTGCCTGTCTCTTCAAACCCAATTAGGACCAATAAAAACACACACAATTCCATGTTATGAAGAAATTTTCACCACCACATTCCGTTCTGTTGTTAGAGTGAAATATAATAATATTTAGTAGACAATGAGAAAATGCAAACAAACAAAAATTTATGAAAAAATGTAAAAAAAAAAAGAAACATGAATGTTATTCTTCCAAAGACTGAATTATAAATTGTGTACGAGTACGGGGTATTGCGTGTAAATAATAAAACAAAAAACCAAAAACTATAAGCAAAATATACTACACAAAAACTTTCGCAAAAAATAAAATATAATTTCCAGATGAAAAACAGAACAAGAAATCAAATCATGTACAGGTGTGGCCCTGGCCCTGCCTCTGGCTCTGGCTTTGGCTCTGTGTAAACTTTAATGGGAAAAACTAAACACTGGAAAACTAAACTTTTGGTCAGAGAGGAGGAAAAAATAGTAAATTAAAAAACTGTTAATATTAAGCATGCAGGCTACTTTGTTATGTAACTAAATAAATATTTATATAGCCATTAACATTAAATAAGATACGATATAAACTCGTAAACAGAAAAACCACACATAAGCCCTGTCTCTCTCTCACTCTCTAGAAATTTCTATGTGGAAAAATAGTTAAAAATTCCATTAGGAATAAAGCGGCAAGGCAATTGAAATAAGCAGTCGGAAAAACCCCTAGCAAATATACATAGTTTTCCACCGCCCCCTCTGTCCTTTTTTTTTGTTGCCTCTTCTGTTGTTTTTAATTTCAACAATTGCCCCGAAAATTGTAATTAAAATGGAAATTATATTTAAAACGAGCGAACGAGAGAGATCATTAAAAGGAAAACAGTGCGAAAATTGCAAACAATTTAATGAAAAACACTTGTAAAATATATATAAAAACGCATTCAGAGGGAAATAAAACCCCCCAATGGCAAAAACATTGAAAATATACAAAAAATGCATCTATAAATATATATATTCTATAACTAAAATGATGTAAACCTCTAGCATAAATAGCAAAATAAAAATCATATAAAATAATAATTATATATACACAAATATATATATATATATATATATATATATATATGTGCTGCATAACGATATAATTAAAACTGGTAAATTCATGAAAATTTATGGCATTAGAAAAGTGTGTGCGCAACGGGATTCTCTAGTGTTTAAAGCATATGAAAATTCCACAAACTAAAATGAAAAAGAAATAGTGAAAACTTAGTAACAAAAAGCTAAATAAGAGAAAATGAAAGCATACAAGAAGAGTGGCATACATTTAAGATGAAAACTGAAATTTAAGTAAATAATAAAGTTGCAAAAAAATTATAAAAATTATAAAACAAAAAGAATACAATTTTTTCTTGGGAGGAATGGTAAGAAGGTTGGTTGGTTTTAGAAAGCATCTGTAATTTTTATGCCTTTTTATTATACTATCTGTTCCCAGTACAATATTCTTCATTGTTCCCCATATTCTATACGAAAATTTGACTAGAAAAATCCTTGAATTTCATGCATTTTCCTATTTCATTTCCTTTCACAGATAAAGATATCCAATTTTAAACACGTCTTCAATTGCACTCAGAACCCCCAAGCAAACACGAAATTCAATATAGTAGCTAGAACTTTTATTTTAAACGGCAGTTAAGGCGATGAATGGTTTCACATATGCGTTTTTACACACATATACAGATACTCTGTATATCCTACTATAGAATGGAAATTGAGAGATTCACAGACACATCAATGTATGGGGGGTCGTCGTCTTCTGCTTTAAAGTACGAAAGAAAATCCATTGAAAATATATTTATTATGCAAATTTGCTTCCTTCACACACAAAGAGTCTCTCCTTGCTTCTCTGCGTATATCGCAAGGACTTATAGCTTAATTTCAAACGAAATATAAACGAATAAATGTCTGCTTCTGCATCCTGCAATATCCTACCCCATATGCTGATGCCGCTGATGCTTAGCGCAATAATTGAATCAAAACATTTCCCAAACTATACTTTCACTCGGGGAAATCCTCTCTCTCGCTCTCTGTCACCCCTCGTTTATTTTTGGCTAAAGATTAATTCGATTTTTATTAGAAATGAAGAAAATCCAATTGAAAAACTCACAAAAATAAAAACAATGGAGGAATGAAGGGAAAATCGTTTGGCACTTAATTCCCATTTTCCTCTCTTTTTATTTTTTTTGCATATGTGCTTGAAAAGTGGGCGTGGCTGGTGTCTGGCAGCCCCATGCTGTGTTTAATTTATTAGCACAAAAGTTTTCAGAGCAAAATTAAATAATAAAAGTCTTCCCTCCAAGTGGCTCTCAGGATTTGTCTCTCTCTCGTCTTTCGACTGAAAATTATCACTCTTAATGCTGCCAAAAAGGTCACGAGTCATGGGGTTAAAGGGTGCCAAAAAGAGTGAAGCACTTTCCCCTCTTTCCACCCGTCTAAGCTCTCTGGCAGGTTGATAATTTATATTGGGAAAATCTGTTCAAAACTTCTTTAGACGCTAATAAAAGTATTTTCCTTCATTCCCTGAAAAACTAAAACTTAAAATCTGTTATAATTGAGTTTTAAAGTTCATAAAACATTTAAAAAAACATTTTCTGCTATCCTTTTTTTGCTACTAAAATTCGCTTGCAGTTTCACTTTTTCCTTGATCTTCCATTTGACCAACAACAAAAATATTTGGACAGGGAAAGCTTCATAAAGTGGAAAACTTTTCTGTTCACTTTTATTGGCAACATCAAGCGCTAATCCCAAACAGAATTGAGTTCCAGAAAAGAACTGAAAACACACATACACTAAAATTGTGTTGCAAAATTGGTGGAACAAATTGCTGAAAAAAAGTTCCGCCTTTTCTTTTTGTTAATTTTTAATTTTTTTTTATTTTTTTCGATTTGTTTGGTGGAAAACTTTAATAAAAACGTGCAAATGAAATCGAAGTAGGAAAAACCAAACATTATATCGTTTTTTATAGTTTTTCTCAATGGCTAAACTTACATTTATTTTTTAGTTTTTTGTATTGTTCTTGTTGTTTACTTTTCGACCTGTAGTTCTGCCATCTCTATTCGTATTTTCTCTCTCTCTCTCTCTCCCAGTGTGTCTTAGCTGCTAGTTTAAATATTTTATTGAACCTTTTTGGTTTACTTTTTGAATGCCACACACAGAATAGAAAAGTTTTTTTTGTTGTTTCGACCAGATATCTATCTGCTCTTCAAAACTTTATCCACTCTGCAATGGGAAAAACTATAATTTTCTGTGGTTAAAACTTAATCCTGGATCTCCAATCTCATTTTAAGTGCACAAGTTCCCCACTAATTGGTCGAGAGGAGGATTTCCCACTCAAATTCCATTCCATTATGAAAAAACTGATACCATTCATTCGTAGGGGGATAAAATCACAGTTTGAAAAGAGGGTGAGAATCAGGATTTGGAGGGATGGGGGAATCAAAAGTAGGGGGAATGGGTATAGATAATATTGCACTAATATTTTTGGTCCAATGCCATCAGCAGCAGCAGCAGCAACAGCCTTGAGCAGCACTCATACGCTACAATCTCCAACTAACCTAGATTTCCCATACGATATAGATATAGATATAGGGGGGATCTGTGTGTGTGTGTGTGTGTGCATAGGAGACCATAATCTATCCATTCAGCCAAATCAAATCGAATCACAAATGCAACGGCAATGAAGAGGCAGCAGAGGGCAGGGGATTGGAGCGCTGAAGGAGCTTACATCCGTTGCAGCAGCAACAGCAGCAGCGCACAATTACAGGGGAGGGGAAAATCTGAAGAGTAGGTCAGCACTCTAACTATCTATATCTCTCTCTCTCTCTCTCCATTGCCCCTGCCACTCTCAGTCCCTCTGTGGGTCACACTCGTTGGCTGTCTATGATGGCTGCTGCTTCTGATGCTGCAAGGAAAGCCACGGCACCGAACTGCCCGACAAGTGTCGTATGTCGTCCTGTCTAATGTTAAGCTACTTTTCATGTATAACCCCCGTAACCTCTAACCACCCTGACAGTACGCTCCACTGCCACCCACCAAGTTGTGGGGAAACTTCGAACTTGCGCACGAACAGACATGAGGCACAAGGAAAGGGTCGCGGCATAGGATACCCATTGCTAAAACGCTACAGAAACACTTTTGAAACGCTTCACGTGTACTGCAGGAGTGCCCCTCGGTTCCCTGGTTTTTTCCTGTGATGGTAGAGGCTCAAAGCAGAAGATATCTAGATATCATGCGCACCTCGGTTTTTTTTCGGTCCCTGTTATCATGGGATGACCTGTTAGTAGGCATTCCGTTCCACAAAACCCTTTTTTTTTTTTAGGCTAAGCAAAGCTTACCGCTCCCGCATCAAAACCATTTCCGCCAAAA